AGTTCTAAATGGATAAGCTGTGGAGAAGTCATTACAACAACACACAATTCTTTGCGTAGGTAGGAATCCTAAACTTTGCAGAATTTGTTGGGGGAATATTCCTGTGTACGTGTGGCCTAGGTCAGTAGTGTATGCTGTCTAGAAAGACGGTACTATATCCAAATTATGTCCGTAGATACATAAATACGTGACACAGAATTAATAGTGTTTATTGAGAAAGGCCAACATTTTTCAGGCTTTGATTTTTAAACACTCTCTGTGTCCTATCCCTTCATTGTGGCTGTTACAAAGCTATGTTCTCCTCCATCCTCATCCATCTCTGACACTTGAATCCACAGATGTGACTTCTTCAAAACACAATTGCTAGCAGAACAATTCTGAAGACCACCGATGAATAAGTAATACATTAGATTCTGATCACGCGCTTCGAATTAGTGTTGAGGAGACTAACGTAAGATAAAAGTACAGCATTCCCCAAAATGAAAGCTTCCACATCTGTACAAACGGGATGTGCCAAGGGCCAGGTTTGTGGTTGTGCTGGTGGTGGGTATGGGATGGGGAGCGGGTGAAGGCCGGGGGAAGATGAACCAGGCCCCACTCAGGCCTTTGGGTAGGCTTTGGGGCCTGGTGGAGAAGACCACGCAACCCCTGCTTTTACATGTCCTCATCACAGAGCTGCCAGCCTTCCTCTGTATACAGCTCTTAGGCACACATTTTAAAATAAAAGCTTGGCTGGTTCATGATGTAGGATGCCCAGAGATACACCACTGCAATGTTCTAAAGAACTGGGACCCTTTACTCTGCTATTTTTAAAGAGCTTCAAAGCTCGCTGTTTACCTTGTCCCTTCCAGCTCTTGTAACTAATGCACACGGATGTTAAAGAAATTGTTTGTGCTCAATAAAACAAGAGGCCCAAGTTTAACTGTATAGAAATTGAGCTTGCTGGTAAATTATTTGAGGATATAATGAACATTACCGTGACTTCAGATTTCCGTGAGTGAAGCTGGGGCTTGCACAGAGGCCAGCTCTGTTTGAAACAACTTGTCTGCAGAAGATCTTGAAACTGCAGAAAGAAAAAGAAGAATGTATTGAATGGAAATTCACAACTAATTGTAACAAGTTGTTGTAGTTAAAACATGCATTTTTGTCCTCTTGTTTTACCAGAGGCGGCCAATCTGTAAATAGTAATTTAAAAAGCATTATTTCATTATTTCTTAATAATTAGTTAAGGGGAAAAAAAATGTCTGGAACTTTGTGACCGGTTGAACTGAGTTAGGAAAATGATTAAACTTTTACATACCGAGGTCTGCTACCTGTAGAGAGAATAAAATTTAAAAAAAACCTTTATTTTATAATCCCATGTTTTACATTTCTTCTGTTGGGAAGAAACTTTTCCGTCATGCTTGGGAAACTACAGAAGAGGTGTGTTGGTGGGGATTTCTGCTTCCCATTACCGCACATAGCATGAGCTATGGAAATCAAAGATAAGCTATACTTCTCTTTTTTGTGTAGTTAATACTTTATTTTCTGTCACCTTAAAGCTTGCAAAATAAATCTGCAGAAGTATCTAACTCATTTCTGTGAACACACGAGCAAATCTTCAGCTCCCCGGCAGCTGCAGGTGTTTGCTGCCCGCTTACATAGCAGCCCTACAATAACCTGGCTGCTCCAGGATAGCAGCACTGCTGGGGCTGAGGTGTCCCTTGGACACTGGATCAAGAATTTTATTTATTTTTAAGGTGATTGTTAGTGGAACTAGTTCTATGTCACACTTGCATAACCACAGTAATTAGGTCAATCTTACTGATTGTAATTTTTTTAAAATTCTCTTTTCTATCTTATTTGCTTAAACAACTTTCCAAACTTGTGATGCAGGATATAACCAAAATTGTTGCTTTGTAATCTTTTTTAAACATAATTTTATTCAACACTTAACTTGCCGTACTTTGCCAAATTACTAATAACATTTTTCATTTGCCAAACTAAGGTTAACTGACGTTGGTCTGTAATCCTTTTTTTTTTTTTCTTTTTCATTCAGATGCAATCAAGAATGAGTAAGTGTTCTAGACACCGTTTCTAATAAATCACAAACGCATTAATAACCCTGGAATTTGTAAGGCGTGACCTAAGACACTAACAGCCACTAGATGTAGTAACTGGTGCTTAACACTGGAAATGTCCATTGTTAACACATTCCCAGGAAATATTTTTAGGCTTATCAGGGGAAAATGTCATACATTTGATAATCGGGTCTTTTTGAATTAGCTGGTGACCAATTTCTTCTGGGTATTTTAAGTTGTCTGTTCTATTTTGCTCTCAAGAAATCCACAGGATGTTAATTAAAAGGCATTTGTTTCTGAAACCAGAAATCATTGTCTCATAGCTGTATTATTGTGTACTCTTATACAGAAAATACAGATTTATAGTCCTCTGTAGCCTCTAATGCTGCTGTTTGCAGTTAACTTCTGAGAACCCCGCTTTCATTCACATTTAATGTATTAGAACTCTTTCTTTATCACCATAAGGATTCCTCTGCTTGGTTTCTTACCAAAAATAACTTTTCCTCAAGCTTGAGCATTCATCTGTTGTCCAAATTGTATAAATCCATTCCTTTGAGTGGTGAAAAAAACACCAGTGGACAAAGTAATTACTGATCTGTATTGGAGCTAATTACATTTAGCTACTGTGGTGATAAGTATAATAAAAGTATTATAAACTGATACAAAAAAACTCCCAATTTTCATGCTCTCTAATTTCCAATCCAATTTCTTTAAAAACAGACTGAGACTATTTTCCTGCATTACTTCTGCTAGCTTACCTTGGATAATTTTAGTGCTTAAGATAAATCCAAGCGTATACCTGTCTGTCAGCCCATTTCTATAGAAAAACCCACACGGGGAAAGAAAGAGGGGAACTGCCTGTAAAGGGTAACTGAAACCATCTACAAAAAATGCCCGAAGTAGAAAACAGGAAATAGTTTTGTAATCTCTTTACTCTGTGCTTACCAGGAACATCTAATAAACCCGTAACGTCAAGGTCTATTTAGCCAAGAGGCTTATCGCTGACTAGGAGGAGGATGGAAGGGTCGGGGCTGCCGTGCGTGCGGCGGAGGCTGGGATCAACCCTCTCGTCCCACCCCAACAGGTTTGGTGCCCGGTGATGCCTGGAGCCCCGACAGAAGGCATTCCTTGTTCCCCAAGCACCTCCTCTAATTGGTGCCAGCTCAGAGCTAATTGAAAAGGTCCATCTAGCTTACTTAAATTGACTTCTGATGCTTTGTACTGCTTTTTAAAGACGTGATGGGTCAAACAGCTCAATAAAATCGCCATACTTTTCTCTGTGAAGGCAAGCACCGTCCTTTACCGTTAATAATTATACAGGTAATAGGTCGCAGTAGGGTGCTCCACTGGTGACAGGTTGTCTGGCTGTTGGCATAAGCACCTGCCTCGTGTGTTGGGATAAGCGTTGTGATTTGGGCAGTCATGGGGTGACATAGCTGCGTAAGGCTCCTTCCTCGCGCCGTGACGCAGTTAAGTCAGCGATCAAAACATCAACCTTGTGTTATTGGGGTAACTTCGAAAAAAGATGCAGAATAAGAAATGGGAATAAGAAAAAATAAGAATAAGAAAAAGGTACGAAGGCAGGCAGCTAGTTTGGGCAGAGGTTTGGAGTGGCTCCTGTTGGAGAAATTTTTAAATTAAGTAAATATCTTCAGCTTTTGAAAGAGATACCGAGCATGAGTGGAGGACGGAGAATAATATAAAGGTATGTAACGTCGTGATTGGCGTGAGAACTATTATTTATTATTTTTTGTGTGACTTCAAGAATGCTAGGCACTCGACAAAGCGATCAGGAAGCAGATCTAAAATAAATAAAAGTACTTTGTAGTTTTCCAGCCAACGCCTCATTATATTGTGAAATTTGTTGCCACAGGATGTTTTGGATACTGAAAGTATGAATGGGTTCAAAAAACATTAGACAGATTTACAGAGGGCATGCCATTCACAGCTATTAAAGACCCAGATCTGTGTGCAATCTCTGCTTCAGGAAGGCCTGGAGCCACTGGTGCTGAAAGCTAGAAGGGTACATTGGGACAGGATTTCTCAATGTCTCTTGTTCTGATCTTTTTTTTTTTTTTTTTTTTCCTTCCCACTTCTTCCTTGGGATCCATTACTGGGTACGCTGAGATGCAAGGCTAGATTAACCTTTCTTGTGTTATATTGCATGGGGGACCATTTTTCAAGGTGTTTGACTTCTAACAGTTTCCTGAATAGAGTTTGAAAGGGAACCAGTTATTTTGGAAAATCCTTGCCAGAAATTCATGTTTGTGTGATGTCAGTAAAGCTTTTCCTCTGTAGACAGCGGTTAACTCATATTTTCATCTCGTTCTGTTTGACGAGGTTGCGGTTGCATCCAAAGCCTAAAGGCTTTGTCTTTTCATTAAAAGGAAAAAAGCAGTCTTTAACTCTGCCACGCGATCCTTGAATAACTTTTGTAAGCCTCGCTCTCTAAGGGGACTGCCTCTTCCTGCTGCAGTCGAACGGAGAAGTTTTTGTCTTCGTGTCTGAAGAGAAGCAAGAGTGAAGTTCTTGTTTTTGTTTATTTCCCCAGGTGATACAGGGGTAGAGAAAAATGCACAAAAAGTTAAACAGATTAGTAATGCTGTTCTGCAAACACTTGAGCATATGCTGCCACCTCGGGGGAATCCTCACGTGGATAATGTCACTTTACACTGACATCAGTAAAATCATGTGCATGTAAATGTCAGTGCTTTTAGGATGCATCCCTTAATTTCACTGAATTATTGTTCATTAGAAAGGTACTAATTTCCACCTTATTTTTTTTTGGTAATTTTTTCCATCCCTCTGCCTGTGCCCTTTCCTTCTTCCTCTCAGAAAACAGCAAACATCTGTGATTTTACTGAGTAAATGATCTCTTAAAGTCTCTTAAAGTTTAAAATGTGATCATTTTACTTTTGTGTGTTCCTTTTGTCTTTTCAGGACAGCCCAGAAACTTGCAAGATCTATGCCGAATTAAAATCCGACAGTGTATAGGCCTTCAAAACCTAAAACTACTTGATGAACTACCCATTGCCAAGGTCATGAAAGACTACTTAAAACACAAATTTGATGATATCTGATATCCATGAAGAGAAGAACTCTGAGCAAGATTAGTTATATTCCAGATACTGAAGAGGCTTGTTGCCTTGCACAAAGTATATCCTATGCAAATTCTGATTTTTCTGTGAAGTCAGAAGGCAGGTATACACTTCCTTGGGTTTTTTATACCACACGCTAGAAGGTCTTAATTTTTGGTTTCTTGGTCCAAGTTTACAAGGTCCAAGCTTTCTATACGATATTACATTTTAAAAGTTGCTGTTGGGTTTTCATTTGTTTGTTTTCACATTAAGTGTGCGGACTTGCAGTGGGGATGGAATGTAGCCTCTCAAGGGAAGTGATTGGTTGGAATTGGCATGCTGAGCAATTATTCAACAAAGAGTTCGGAAATCAAGGCACCGGTCCTGCAAAGGGATACCGAGAGAGACCTTCGGAGCCCTGTTGTCAGTTGGAGCTACCAGGGTGGATGTTTTTGCAGGATAGAGGGAAGAGTTGATAATCAATGTGTCATTGGGTACTGTATGAATATAATTTGGAAATTTAAAAAAAAGGAAAAAAATGCAGTCACCCTATTCAATTCGAGGGTCTATACATTGGCTCTTTTATTTTATTCTCTTCCTTATTACTGTAGTTTGGATGCCCATAAAATTCAGGCCCTCTTCTTTCCTGACATTCCCTGTAAAACGGGCGGCTGTTTGTAAGTCTGTTTTTAGCAGTGACAGTACACTACAAAGAGGCATGGCCTCTGTATTTTTTACATTAACTTAAGGTTAAACAAAGTTAGATTTTTGAAGCCAATGTATTCTGTTCCTCATACAGTGCCTCCTGTGCAATAATCTTTCTGATGTATTTTCCCTTTATGTGTGATTTTTTTCCTCCCCCCACTATTCCTCATTTAGTCTCAGTGCATTATTTGTGAGAATAGGAACTGCTGCCTCACTGTAGTGTTGACGTGGCATTACTAAAACGATGGTGGCAGTTGCTGTTCGTTATTAATCCCTGAATTTCATGAATGTATAACCTGCTTTATTTCACTTTCAGTTGAAATTTTATCTACGGGTTCTCAGCCAAATTGTGTCCATTTAAAAAAGAAGAAATTGGCCAAGCCCCTTCAATTTTAAAGGCAGTGGTGGATTTTGTTGTTACTGCTCTGAAATTCAATTTGTTTCAGGTTAGAGAGTGGGAAGTGCACGTAAGCGTTAAGTTGCATCTTATATGTGCACAAACAAGAAAACACCCCCTTCATATTGGAAACTTAAATTTTGCAAACATCGTGTGGTTTCCTATTGATCCGAAAACAGCAACTGAAAGGAGTACTGCAATTTGGCTACTGAATGTGTTTTTCATATTAGGTATTGAAAAGATCTGTTAAAGAGCTTTGTTTCTGACCATAAAAAATGAAGTTCTCACTATCAAAAAAAAAAAAAAAAAAAAGATTGGGCCAAAAATTGCAGTTGTTTCACTCTCTTTATTTTCAAGGGATTATGGAGTCATCATAAGGTTCTTGCCAGTGTCTTCTACTTTTGTTTTGCCATCCGACTGACTCCAGAAGGGCCTCTCTGATACCAGGAGTGCTTTTATACCAATTATACCAATGGAAGCGGGAAGGTGGAAGGAACAATGGTGGCTTTTAACACTGTCACTTTCAAAATATTTAGTATTAAAAAATATATATAAAAAAAAAAAAAGCAAGAGAAGCAGGTATACTCATTTAACTATGTTAGTTCCTTTTAATATCTTACAGCCCTCAGTTGCAGTTCCTTGAGCATGAACGTTATCACTGATAATGGCTGCACCCGGGACTATGGCAAGCAGTTGTCTCCCTGTTGTGCCTGACCTTGCATCAGGTTTCTTAGCGAAAATAAGTGATTTTGGAGATTCGTGGCTCAGAGGATTGGCGGTGGGATGTTGAACCTTTTTATCTCCAACTTGCATCGGTTCAAGTCCAGCCTGCTCGAGCAGTGACTAAAAGTAAACGTGAGCAGTGGCCACCTCTGGGCAGTGGAGCTTGATGATGCTCCTGCAGACGACGTGTGATGGTGGTGGCACTGTCAAGGAGACAAACTGAGCATGTGGCTGGGGTGTGTGCATGAGCCTGGGTGCATGAGGTATCCTCCAGCTTTTCCCGAAGCAGAAAGGGTCGGCCCTTAGGATCTTTAAGCTCTGAGACATGATGGAAGTTAAGAACTGGCAGATTTGAAGCATGAATCTTTGCTTTTGTGACATGAGATCAGAACCTTAAAACTGCTTTTTTTCCTTTAAGTACTTAGCATTGTTCACTACACTTGTAAGTTGGTCTAAACCAATATCCTTCCCCGTTGAATTTTTACAGTAATATTTTCTAAGGTAATCTAGAGTATATTTTAGTTGCGATCTATATTAAGGCAAATTATTCGTTCTGTCTGTTGCTGTGACTGAAGAAAATTATGGAAGACTTTGTTGGTAACAAGAGTGCTATTTAATGAAGAAATGTGTAATTCCATTATTTATTGTTTGAGGTTTGTTTTTTGGTTATTTCTTTTAAGTAACTGACACCTAAAGGGAACACACATACACTTCAGGCCAGTAAAAAGCCTTTCTTTTGAATTCATTTTCATCTTATCCTCTTTCCCCTCCCCAAGGTGGGAGGGAAGCCCTCATGTCTTATATGCTAAGCCATCTCTTGCAGCTGGTTTCCCTGATCTTGATTCAGCGAAGCACTGCAGCACGTGTATTTCTGAACCTCCTGATAGCTCTGCTCGCTATCTTAAGTTATACATGTGCCCAAGTAAAGTATGATTATTCATTGTTAATCCTACCCAAATTTCAGTAATGTGGAATCTGTTCTTCTTTATTATTTTAAATATTGTGCACAAATACTTTGAGGAAGAAAATGGATTTTTTTTAGTTTTTTCATTTGGACTAGAATGTGGAAAAAGAAGTGCATAACACAGTTCTGTTGTGTAGCCTAGTTCCATTACCATAAAATTCACAGTTGAACCCTTTAATAAACCTTTAAAAATTGGCAAATACACCAAAGAATCAATATGAGGAAAAGACTCTGATCATTAACAAACTGCAAACCTCATCCTTTAAAACAAAGCGGAAAGTTTTTTGTAAATATTTATGTTTATAAATGTACAGCAGAGTAAGAGTGTTTTTTAGATTATTTAATTACCATATTTCTAAACTATTTACATTATAGACAATACTTGTTAGTTTGAAAAGCTCTTGAGTGTTTTTTTGTTTGTTTGTTTTGTTTTTTTGTTTTATAAATTCATTATCACTCATGCTTGGAATAACTTTGGCTTCCTTGGGATAGCACGGAAAACTCATTTTTTTGGCTGTAGTTGGCGATAGTAGGAGAACACATCTGGACAAACTCATCAGAAAAATACCCTGAGGCAAAAGAGAATATGTACCATGTTTACCAGGGTGGACCTGGACTAGCTGAAAGATTTGGGATCCTAACGTTCTCAGTTAAATCTGTCCAGAGCCCCCAGTGATGTTGTAACAAGCAACTCCCAACCTTCCCACAAGTCCAGCTTCCATGCAACTCTGTGTTATCAATATCACGATGTATTTTGTTCTTCCTTTGCAATGTAAGCTTTTGCTTTGGGTCAATTTGAATTTTAAGAAGAAAAAAAAAAAGTTGAATCTGGTTAAAACATTTTTTTTGGTTTATGTTCTGTTTGTTTCCAATGTAATGTTTTAATAACACGATACCACTTTACACATTTTCTCTCAATGTTTGTCTGTCTCTTCTACTCCTTTTCCCATCTCCGGTGCACGTGATTCTGGTAATGCATTTGGTACTCAAATTTGCCCCCTCGAGTAGGAGTTCAGATGTGCATTTTACCAGTAAATCAGAGAATAAAACTCACTCTGCGCTCTAGGGCTGGGCTTCAGAGGGGGGAACAAGCTAGCCTCTAGTTATGAATAGCTGGGTTTTCCCTGCTCTGATTCCAGTGCAACCACTTCAAGGTCTTCCAAAAGTTTCACCTTTCCGTCTCAAGTTCATAGGCTGACTAAAATACATAAATGGACCAAATAGAGGTCGCATTTTGCAGATGAATCTGTTTTGTGTCTTATTTACTAATAAAAGTTGAATAAGGGGCCTCTATGTGAAATATTCCTGGCACGCAAATGGGAACTGGAAGCAATTGGCTTCAGTCATGAGAGTGATGTATAAGCTAAAGTTGCAGTAAAGTTTTGAACCCTAAAAATCTGGAGAAGGAGCAGCCTAGATTTAAAAACATAAGCGTTACAGCTAAAGGGGGAGAGAGGGGGAGATGTTTTCCATTGGCCAGTAGCAAACTATGCAAACATCGCTGCAGTACGTAAGCTGTGCAACCACCAGTTGTGTTTAGAACTGTTGATGATAGTTGCTAACAGACTGGTCACTGGTGTATTTACTAAATGCTGTTAAAGACTTCGTTCCTGTTTATGTATCCTATTTCCTGTTTGAGTGTTCACTTGTTAAGTTTAAAACAATTAATGACTAATGTTACTACTTCTAAAAAAAATTTACAAGCTGCTGACAAATGATGTTGTTTAGAGCATACAATCTTACCAGGTGTTGGTGTAAGTATGTGATAAGGACATATACATATTTCAGATGGCAAAAGGCTTTTTTTACCATAATGGGTAACAAAGCTTTTGCTTTTCTGAGAGCAGAAGTGATGGAGCTGATGAAAATGAGCAAAGATCTTGGAGGTGAGTTCTGCCCTGGCTCTGCCATGCGTTTCCCCAAACAGCCTGGGCTGAAGAATTTAACTTCTTTGCTCTAGTCTCTCCCCTCTGCTTGGGTTGGGGCTACCACAATGTCAAAGGCTTTACAACATTCTCTGAGACTGGAATAATATTGAAAGGCTGAAGTTATTCTTTTCCCATATCACTAGCATATTGAACCTTTTCTGTCTAATTCTACTTCTTGACTTAAGTTATTAACCGAAGTATAGCTCAAGATGTTATTTAATCTCATGACAATAAGAAACAAACCAGATATATGCATTGCCTTACGAAACCATGCTACCAGGAATTCCTCAGCCAGTGCATTCTCCAGGGATCCACAACGTGCAGCTGGAGCAGCAAAAAGTTGGGATCGAAAGCTGCATTGACTTTTATTGGGAAATCTCCAGCTGTCTAGCGAAGAAATTGTAACTCCAGCTGTTTCCTCCACATCTGGGATCTCTAGTGCTGCTGACTGCTCTTTGTGAGGTCCCAGGTAAGTTTTGAACACTTATGTTAAAGGATTGTTCTTATGCTTGCAAGAAGGATGTGTGACGCATCTACAGAGGGTACTTTTAAAGGGTCTGAAGGTATCCCTGTACCTTCTCTTCTGCCCCATTTTTTATATAGTGACATTTGTGTAGTCTTACAAGTGTGTTTAAGAGCTACAGATGCTACAGAGTATGGTTTTTCCCCCAGATTTTTACTCAGTCTATTGCAATTTTTCATAGCTATCAACATCCATGAAGTATTCCTCAAAGGTCTGGAAAAGGTGAGTGAAAAGCAAGCTTACAGTTAGTACGTTATACAGGGGTAAATGCTGTTATGAGAAAATTTAAGTCTAAAAATGACTGATGTACAGCAAGGAGCACCTATTCTTTGTTAAAGACCACAACATTGACCATAACTCTTCTGTTCAGACTTGCAGAAATGAGTTTATTTGCAGTCTTACTATTCTCTAAATATATAAATATTAATATATTAATATATCAATATTAATAGTTAAATATACCAGATTATCATCTTCTCTGTCACTTCCATTAACTCATGGTCTGAACTTTTGGGTAGACCTGTGCGGTGTCAAGAGTTGGACTTGATGATCCTTAAGGGTCCCTTCCAACTCAGGATATTCTATGATTCTATGAACTCCTGTTACCAAATTCTGTCCTCATTTCTGACTTATACCATTGTAACTCAATGACGCTGGTTGTTACTTCACATTTAAGATAGTGTAAAAGAGCAAATAATTCATTTGGATAGCCAGTTCTCAGTCCTGCTTCTTGTCTGATGGCCTAATGAGGAGAGTACTTAAAATTCTGTTAACGCAGCCTGCACTCACAATGCATTTGGAGTACCAGGTTGCAAACTTGTTTAGCATCTTGTTGGCTGCAACAATTAGAGCTGATTAATACATCTGACCCTAAAGTGAGGCTGTGAAAAGTTGCATGTCTGTTCTTTTCAGCTCTAAGCCAATTCTTTGTGGTTTTTAGGTTCTCCTCTGTTATTATCTGACTGTAGTGTTTGCATGGGATAACAAATTTAGATTCGGGTTGCTCCAGTGCTTGATTTTAAACAACAGAGCGTGGCCAGTTGGATGGCATGGGAAATGTGACTTCCAAGCTGCTTGACCAGAGATTCATCCCCTAGCTGTCTGGATACAGTTCACCTTGTAACAGGTCATAATACTGCTGTTAGGAAGCGAAAACAAATTTTTAGAGAGCAATCCATCTGAAAATAGCGACTGGGATGTTTGGTAGGGCGATGAGGTTGAGATGTGGGATTGTGTGTGAGAGAGCCGAAAACGTTCCTTCTGATCTTACAGAAATATCTGGTATGGGGCTTGTTGGGAGTTTGAATGCCCTTAATATAAAATAATCTGCATCAGTATTTGAGTCTGTTCCCTCTCTGCTTCGTGTAAGCTATTTAATGATTAGTGAGCCAGAAAACAAATTGTGTTTTCTTATGTTTCAAGCACCCTCCTGACTTTGATTTCAGGTTCCCACTCTGAACAAGGCAGAGCAATTAAGGATGGGGATTTGAACTAATGTTCCTACCTCTTAGAGCTGTGATTGTAGGGTTATAAAATTATGCCAAAGAGAGGGAACACCGACCAATACTCCTACAGTCTGTGAGGCTGACCCTGCGAAGTCACTGAAAGCAGCAACCCAACTAAGTGGCACTCACCCTAATGTCTCTTACACATGTGAACGAAGACCTGATGTTTGCGGGGGCTTTTTTTGTCCCTGCTTATCTTAGATTACAGATAACTTAGACCTCTTCTGCCTCCCTGAGCACCTGGCCACAGGCTCTGGTGGTATTTGTCTCTTGTCTTTGATACTGGTGCTGGGCTTCTTCTCCTTGTCACAGCTTCGTTTCCACACCAGGTCACTGAGGAGGGCAGGGAACGAGGCCTCCCTTGCTCTGAAGGATCCCAGCAGGCAGATCACATCACAGGAAGGATTTGGGAAAGGAATTGTTGCCACAATGTTGGGATATCGTGGCTGGAGCATGTTGGTCTTAATGCTGTCCCCTCTGTCCTCTGCCTCTCTCAGGCATTAGTTGCCTATTGTCAGCCTGCCCTGCACCATTTCCTCATGGCATGAAGGCACAGCTGCTGGAAAATGAAAGGTGATGAGGAAAAGGAGATGTGGGGCTGGTGATAAAGGTGGCAGTGACCATTGGCGTGTGGTGGCTGGGGAGAGGCTTATGCCTTTGTCACAGGGTGGCTGAGCTGCTATTGATCTGTTGTCAATGTAAGTGAAAAATCAGAGTGCTAGTTCTCGTGATGCTGCTGATGACTATATGACTTGTTTTTTATTTTATTTTAATCTGCTTACTTGGCTGAAGAATCAATACTTTTTCTTCTTTTATAACCAAAATATCTTAACATTTTCATTGACTCTGCTGTCAATGTTTCATCCCGGATTCTTCACGGATTCATCACCGATTTGTCCTGTGTTGTCGTAAGACCTGAGCATGCTTAGCAAACTTCTTACTCATCACCGCCAGTGACAATTTTAATGGATCAAACTCTCTAATGGAACAAAGAAATCTTGTATTGGCATATCTGCATAATGAGTGCTATATTCTATACCTGTGCTTCTGGTTGGTTCTTATCCCAGTAAATGAAATTATTTGGCTTTCCTTGAGTCTCATTGGGTGTTAGCAGCCAGTATTAAAATACTTCAAGCAGTTCTAAATAAGACTTCCTTTGAACAGTGATCCAGATATGGACAATTCCAGTGTTATCTGGTAAATGGTTCAGGTAGCCTCTGCTGCTAATTGATTCTTGTGCTTTGCATTTTCTTCTTCTCCCCAGGCTTAGGTATAATGCTGATCATTTTTCCCCTCAAGCCATTTTGCCAGAGTTTTCTAAAATCTACCATTTGGAGCAAAGAAAAACTCCACTGAATGTGAATTGCTTTCACAATTCACTGGCCTACCTTCTGTCTTGGTAAGAGAACAGCTTTTACTGAGAGCAGCCCCTGTGCTTTCAAGGGCGTTTTTGTCTGCCTCTACATTCTGCCCAGATGTTCAGTGTCTTAACTGGTACTTTTTTAATTTGTAGCTATCTTGTCAATAAAGCATCTTTTTATCAAATGCATGCAGTGCAACAGTTATTAGTTATATACGTATATACAGCTGAGCTTGCTGGCTTTGAGTATTTCCTGTGCTTCATAAATACTTATATAATCTGTTATGCAGGCTCAGCTGTTCTTAATTCTAATGTGATTCATATCGTGCTTAGAAATTTGACATTCTTGGCTTGTCAGAAATATTAATATATGTTAGTGCCATATCTATTGAAAATTGACATGTTTTTTGCCGTGCTTTAATTTTCACTTCTTTATATTGCAGCATTCCACATTGAGCAACACGGCATTGTTTGCTTTTAAATTTCCCTCTCTCCCTCGGTCTTGAGAAACCAGAAATAATTAGATTATATCTTTCTCTTGGCTTGCAGAGTTTTCACTTGTAATGAATTATGCCATGCAAAACTGTAT